ACCTTATGTGCCCCTATCAATGATCTTTTATAGTCGTATGACCACATGATTTCGTGTTTCCCTAATATTAATGATTTCCACAAAATACTGTCTCTCCTACATTTACAAAGTTCGTCGCACCYTTCCMYAGAYTGGTGCRGCTGGTACCTAGTTGACTGTGAACTATACAATGCGGGACGCTAGTCCATAGCAACCCTATTTTTCTATATGCGTGCAATATCTATAAATACCTAATTATTTATTATTCATTCATAAAACAACTATTTATTTATTTTATTTTTTGAGGATGGCTATTCAAGATTAGTCAATCATTATACCTTCAAACTGACACTACTATAAAGCAGAATATAACATTGAATTTACATGCTGTTTGTTGATTTTCCATAAAACAATTATTACTAATTTCAGTTTGCTTACTTTTTTTTCAAATTGAACAACATTATTATAGGAGATAATCTTAACCACATCTTCAGAAGATAAAAATAAAATCTCAATACTTTTAACCACTTCTCTGAAAATATTATTATATAATTTATATTACTGAAAAAAATAGTATATTAAGTTGATGAAAACTTACAAAAACTGTTTTTTTTTTAACGAGTCAGAACTTGATAACAATTCAGTAAACTTATGTAAGTCAGCAAATGCTTTAATACTAAGACAATTTGATTGATCTGGCTCTTTATGCAAAAACTCAACACATTCACCATTTACAAAATCTAGGTGTAATAGTTTGGCAGCAGGTAACAAAACCTTGGGAAATCAATAATGTATTAAAAAAAATTTGGTATTAGTCTATAACAAATCAAATTTTTAATTATACCTGKACATTTTCTTTGGCGACCATAATTAACATTTGGTCAGTACAAATAKAATCTACTAATTTGTGTAAAACAGTTGAATCTAATACTCTTATATTAACAAGATCTTTATTTGTCTCATCAATTTTACTTAACATTGTATACAAATATGGACTACTTGCCATTAAAACATTTTTAAATCCAAACTCTATTTTACCRTCATCATTTTTGAATCTAAAGTCACATAATACTTTATTTCTAAATATAAAAAAATGTTTTAATGATATTTATTTTAAAAGAAACTAAAATCAACGTCGACATACTTGCGTGGAGATTGTAGTTCTTCTAGTATTCTAAAAGACTGAGAATTATTTCTAAAATGTGTTGGTTCGAATTCATAGGATTTCAAAGCTAGCTTTAAATCGTTTTCACAAGATGAAGACTGTAAGRCATTCATTTCTTTTAACTTTGAAAGCATTTGAAAAATAAGATATAACAGTGTTTTTTTAAATACTTTTAACAATTTTCAATTAGTCAATTGTKGACTGTTATGTCACAGCAATTAATGKGTTTCAAGAGTTGACACTAAACACAATATACTTACACTAAACAATACATTTTAAATAGTAAACACACATYGGAATTTTCACTTTATTTTTAGCKGTACAAAGAAACCGTTTTTCAAAAAATGAGAGCGAAATGCAAATGTATTTCTGTGAAGATAGCAGCTCCGTTTACCAGTTTACCACTTGGGTATCAACTCTGATAAGAAAGGTAACCG